GGAGGGGAGAGGGAAAAATGTGGAGCGAAGGGTAAAGGAATGATAAGGTTAATGGTGGGGCCAACAGCAATTACTACATCTAGCATAATTAATCACAAGCAACAACAATGACAACACGTACCATGAGAACAATAACAACCACAATTTAAAAAAACCCAATAACAACTACATGTACCACCACCACAGCAACAACAGCAGTAGCAACAACAAGAACTAGAACAACAACAATAACAACAACAATAACAGCACAAACAGCAACAACTATTGTTATAACTATAACATCTACCAAGAAAACAATAACAACAACGACAACAATAATAAAAAATAACACCTTAATTACATCTACCATGACAACATCATTGGTTTTTGTAAGAGTTTTACGCTCTTGCAACACAATAAGGTCATATAAGTGCCGAAGATTAGAGGTGTTACAAGAGAGTAACATACACAAAAAAGAAGGAGGGTAGATAAGGACGACAGATGCTTGATATGAAAGAAGAAGCAAATCACACTAGAGCACCCGACAACACCACCAACAGCAACAACATCTACCATGAAAACAACAACAACAACAACAACAACAACAACAACAACAACAACAGCAGCAACAACAACAGCAACAACAACACTTACATTGATGACGGCCAATGAGGTGACGATGACACCCATGATCGGATGACCTTTCAAGTACTCCTTCTCTCCCACTAGCTGGAGACACAAAGGAAAGCACATGTTAAAAGGATAAGTTTTAGTTTTAGTAGAGGTTTTACGGCGCTCGCTACTGCAAAGGATCATATGAGCGCCAGAAGATTAGAGGTGTTACAAGAGAGTAACAAACATAAAAAAGAAGAAAGGGAGAAAAAGACGATAGATTTTTCATAGGAAAGAAGAAGCAAACCACACCAGAGCTCCCGCCAAAAATTTGAAAATAAAAATGTGTCGCAACGATGTGGAATCAGGCGTTCGTCAGTTTGGGTGCATATATATGGAGTTATTGGTATCATCTTAAACATGCTCATTTGTCTTGCTTTTGATGAAAAACATACCCATCTGTCTTGAATAGAAGTCGAGATATTTGCGACTGACAGAGGTGGAGGTCGCCTGGTTTCAGATGTAACTGTATCGTGAAAATGACCGTCAAAGTTTGGTGACTTTCACAGCATGAGTGTTCTTGTAAACTAAATTTACACATTTTGTGCCTTTCATCTACGTTTTTCAATAAAAATCGACACAGAAATGTGTTTTCATATTGACATATATAGGGTGTTGTCATTTTACAGGCGCTAAAACACTAACTTACTGCCAATGCAAACGTTCGTACGTTCGTACGCTCGTAAATTAAGCTCATTATTACAGCAGAGAGTAAAAATAGTACAAGACAGGTTTATAATACCATTAAGTACCACATGGTGCGCTATAGCCACTCATAGATAGCATAACTCGTCTAACAAAAAAAGCAAACATCAAAGGTATCGGTTGTATGGTAGTATGGTCTCAAAAAAATATTTCGTCGAAATTCAAATTTTGAATGTTAAAGAAAAGAAAGCAAGAAAATATACACAAATACAGGTACGATTGTAAAAAAAGAATGAAACAGGTTTTTCCCATCCCCCCCCCCCCC